GTGTCTGGAAGCTGTCCCTTCCTAGTTAATCAGGTTTAATGTCTGATTCCATTTGCCCCTTTCTTTTGTTAACTAACTACATACTTACTGTGACATAATCAAATCACGAAGCATTGGGGGGAATTCTATCATTCATGTTAATTCATAGCATGTATACACAACCACCCAGTTGTTTAGCTGAAGGAAACCTCTTTGTAAGGAAATTCTCTGCAATACATTTATTTAGAAATTCACATCCTGTGAGAGAAAATCATAAACCATTTCCCTTTTCAGGACTTTAGGTTCCTCACAGAGTGGCTTAAAATTTTGCCCTGTGCTGATACCAGTCTTCAAAACAAACTTCTGGGGTTCACAAAAATGAATCCCTCTTCTAGCTATAAGGTATTTTTTTCATTGAAGGAAGATACTTCAGTGTATGACTCAAAAAAGTTTTAATGAAAAAATATGCAAAAATTAAACCTCTTAAAGACTGATTTGTTCCTACTTCTGAAGATTCATTTCCTCCTTCATTTTAGTTATTACAGTTTTAGGTGCTCTTTTGAGAAAAATAATTAAATTGAAATTACCTTCTATCTTCATTTTTACTGTAACTACCTTAATCCATGCTCTTATCACCTTAAATTTAAATTATTGATGTATTCTCCAATAGGGCCCTCCACCTCCTGTTTTGCCCCTATTCCAATTTGCTTTGTCCACCTATGTCTCAGCAAATTTCAGGCACTGGTAAAAAAAAAAGATTGGGCTCTGGAGAAAGAGTTAGTATGAATCTTGCCTCTCCCACTTACTTGTATGATCTTACAGAAGGTAATTCTCTCTGTGCTTTGATTCACTCATGGGTAAAATAGGATATAATATTAGCCCCTACTCCATAGGATAGTTCTGAGAGTTAAATGGGATGATGTGTATAAATTTCCTAGACTAATGACAAGTACATAAAAAGTACTATGAGATTTTTTTATCTCCCTTCCTTACATATGTTTAAAACCCTTCAAAAACTTTCTGTATCCTATGGGTTCTGTAAGCTAAGATCTTCTTTGTATGGTTCCATCCTCCAAGCTTTTTGTCATTCCTTAGCATGCTTTGTGCTTTAGTCAAAAGTTTTCCCTCACTATCACACAAATAGTATATGTTACTCTTCATTCATATCCTTGGGAATATTCCTTCTCTCTTCTGAAAAGCATTGCTTTCTCTCCTTTCTTTAACTGGTATATATCAAATTTCAGATATTCAGATGTTGTTCCATAGTTTTTGCTGTCTATACCTTTATTTGTTTGTGTTTGTTAGATCACACTTTTTGCATCTTAACTACCTACTTTAGCCTTATCCTGAAATAAAAAATATGAGTGCTAATTGTGCTATACATTAAAATCTTAAACAAATATATAACTTAAAAATGTTTAAAAAGTTATTCCTTGTACTACCAAAAATAACATTGCATACCTCCAGTGAGACATACTTAACCCATTGGGAACGCTGCTTAAACAAAACTTGTCGATTGAGCAAAGACCACCCAACCTTTTCCAAACAGGTCCAGCCCATAGTGAACTCACCTTCTTACCTTTCATATAACTTAATAATAAATCATTTACTCTGCTATATTTTCTATTATTTTATGAGTGGTCAATTTGTCATTTAAAGTATAATCTTGGAGGAAAGGGATATACTTTATGCTTCTGAATCCCACCCTGTCCACTCATCATCCAATAAAATTGCTTATTGTTGTAGCTCCTTAAGTACTTGTTGAATGATTATTTCCAAAAAGTACAGAAATAGTCTGTGGATATAAAAACAGAGATAGAAAACTCTTGAAGACAGTTTACCTAAAGCAATTAATATTCACTATTTCTAATGCAAAAGGAATCGAGGTTTCCTTTTTTAAAAATATTTTTGTCTCACTATTGTTCCAGAAAAGACCAAAGGTGGTTTGGAAGGATTCATACTATAATAAGATAATACAAATAAATAGTAAGATGAGAAAATAATAAAGAAAAGATGTTTAAGAACATAAGAATAGAGCCATGAAATTGAATAATAAAAATAAGCACACCATATTCTCATGAACCATACATGTTGCTGCAAATGACAGTATTTTGTCTTTTCTTATGATTGAGTAGTATTACATTGCATATACTAGTATGTCCCACATTCTAAGCAAAATAAGTCAGGCAGAAAAGGTCAAGAACCATATAATTTTACTCATATGTGGGACATAAAACTGAAAGCAACAAACAAATAAGTAAACAAATAAGAACCCATAGACACAGACAACAGTATGGTGGTTGCCAAAAAGTAGAGGGTGGGGAGGAGGTAAAAGATGGAAAAAGGGGTCAAATATATGATTATGGAAGGAGACTGAACTAGGTGGTGAACACACAAAGCAATATACAGATGATGTATTATAGAATTGTATACTTGAAACCTATATAATTTTATTAACCAATGTTACCCCCAATAAATTTAATAAAAATGTTTTAAAAAGCACAGTATAGAAAGATCTCCAAAGTTGCTACCAGTAGACAACAAATTAGTTTCAGTTTATTCAGCAGAACATGTAAAAAGAGACATTTAACACAATTATCAGTATCCATAAGAACCAAATCAAACAAATTATTTAGGGAAAATGTAGTTCTTCCTAATATTACGATCAAGTATTACCCTTGGGTCCTCCAAAAAGAAACAGTGTATTTTAATGAATAATGTCCTCAATAATAGCTATCACCCATAATCTACTGTTACTGTTAGAGAAGACCTAAAAGCCATTGAAGTACCAATTTTTAAACTTTCCTCAGCCTAGGAAATATATGATACACCAGGTAAAGTAAACTTTGAGGGAACACATAGAGAAAGTAAAGAGTTCAGAACTATGGACAAATTGTTTCAGCTGTACTGTTTTTTAGACTCTTACAAGTGGATATTTATTAATTGGGTTGAGATGATAATGATTCCTAGACTGTCAGTCATACTCAGTAACTAGTAGACTCTCTTCTAAAAGTTAATCTGAGATTATTCTTAAATTATCAGCTTTTTGTTTTAATTAACACTCAGAACTTTACTTGAGTTGAAATTCCCTTTGCCTAAATTGGTTCACTGACTTCTGAGATAATTTTGCTTCCCTTTTTAGGGCCAATGAGGAGAGGATATTGCATGCAAGAGAGAAATGAGGTAAGCAGGCAGGCTTTCTTTTTAGCAATGTTAAGGTGTCTGTGAAATGAAGGTAGGAGGTAGTGTTAATAGCTAATTGTCAAGAAAGCATTCCTTTTATCTTTCTCTCCCAGGGTTTGGATTTAAAACTAAAAAGTTCTGGAATTTTTTTTTGTCCAGAGTAAGATCTTACCCTGGCTTATACTGCCCAAACTCACAAAGGATGAATTTGTACTAGAAATCCAATTTAATAATTTATAGTAAGAAACAGAACTGCCAAATAAACTGAAATGTGTGTTGGCCTGTCAGTATATTTTCTTTTCTGTAGGATTTCAAGTCAGAATATCAAATTAATAACAGATTGGGGCTGGATAAATATATGAAATCAGAACTAATAAGGGGATTGCAAGGTCAAGCATGTTTCATTTGATATACCTCAGCCAGTCATAGCTTTTTCATCAATCAGTTCAAACTCTTAGTTTCTAGTGCTGAAAGTATCTCTTTTCCATCCCTTGCACCCTTGAATTTTGTATTAGACATTTCTGAGTATTAGGCATGTCTCTATCTAGTTCTTGAAGGGTGCTAGTTTTATAAGGAGACGTTGCAGGTCCAGTTTGCCCTTTTACAAAAAATTGTGGTCATCCACTCCCTTTATTTAGTCTTACCCCAAAATCCAAATGCTACTGTTTAACCTAACACACAGTACTTTTTTTTCCGTTTGCTATGGCTATTACCCAGAAGGCTCTTTGCAGTTTCAGGCTATGGTTTCTTTTTAAAAATTCTTTATCGTTTAAAGTATTACATATGAATCCTTTTCTCCCCATTGACCGTGGTTTCTGAATGAGGTTCCTTTACATGCCCACAGAGGTTCATGCTGCTTTGCAAGCTTTGTTTCTCAGAACTACACTCAGACTTGGCTGACACTACAGTCCCTAAGAGTATGACCTTTCTTTATTTGCATACTTATAAAATCCCCAGAGACATTATACATAAAAACCAAAATCTTAGTAATCTGTAGGGAGACTCTGTTATCAACATTGTTCACTTTTTTTTAATTCATGCATTATTTGAACATTTATTTTTTTATTCATCCCTTCAATTAGTCATTCAACAAACATTCATGAAAGTGCCTTGTGCTGGACTGGTTGGGAATACAGAGATAAGTCAGCCATGACCTTTGCCTTCAAGCAGTTTGCAGTATACTAAGGTAGTAAAAAATGTATAAAAATAACCAAATTACACATTAAATTTTAAGCCTTGAGATAAACTGAGAGAAGTGCACTCCAGATAAAGGGGACAGTGTAAGCAAAGCTAGTCCTACTGCTCTTAGTTCTGACTTGTATTCTCAACAGAAACATATCAGGCCAGAAAAGAATGGAAGGAAATTTACAAAGTGATGCAAAGCAAGGGACTGAATCCAAGAATACTCTATCCAGCAAGGCTATCATTCAAAATCGAAGGGGAAATAAAGAGCTTCACAGACAAAAAAAAAAAAAAGGCTAAGGGAGTTTATCACTACCAAGCCAGTAATGCAAGAGATCTTGAGATATTTTCACCCTGTGCCCTTCATGCTTGAAGGAATTGCAGCTTTCTTGTTCTTAGGTAAACTCCCTGTAGATTTGCCTCAAAATCCCATCTTGCCATGGAGCCTACTGGAATCTAGTAAAAAAAGTAGGCATATGGGTTGTGGTAGAAAGATATAATGTGAGGAACAGTGAGGAAGGCTGATATACATATCTTTTTTAAATTTATTTTGCACAGCCTTTTGTTCCAAGCTCTTTGAATTTCTTTGCACCAATGAAATAGAAATAAAATAAACCTTTAGTAGCGTCATCTGCTCAAGGGACTTACCTTTCGTCTGTACAAATAAGGTTTCTGTGGTGAGATGCAAAAGTCACTTCCTCTTTCAACAACAAATTGTCAGTTATCAGCAGGATCCGTGTTACCCAGAGTTATATTTTTCATCCCCAGCTCCCTGCAAAGAAACTAGAGTGCTAAACCCTGCAAGTCTCCAGGGTAAGTTACAGTATAGTATCTGGGAATTGGTGGTTCTGTGTGGGAAGATTGGTGGGGGCATGAAGATGCAGGACAGGGGCAAATGTGGGACCGTTGTTCAAATTGAAAATGGTCCCTGGTTTATTTCAGATTTCTTGCAGCAAGAGTGATGATTTCTCTTGAGTAAGACTGGAGTACAAAGTTAAGGTTAATGCCACCAGTCCCCACCGTAACACAGTAGCATGAAGCCTGTGACCCAGCTCACTCTTTCCTGAGGGCTCTTTGTTTCTTTGTCAACCTTGGAGGTTGGCACAAGTGGTAAGAAAATAGAGTGTTCAGTGAGATTGTTGTAGCATATTAAGCCAGAAAAAGAGGATTTAAATTCTTGTTCTGTATTATTTACCTAGCTGCATAATGAAGTTTTTATGTCTAGTCCCATTGCTTTGGTAAGATTAGCTCTCATAGATACAGCAAGAGAAGAAAAGAACTTGAGATCATAGATTTGGTGGATGAAAGAGCTCTTAGAGAGCCAAATCCTTCACAATACAGATGGAAAAACTGAGAGCCAGTGAAGACACTTAGGATAATTCATCTAGTTAGTGATAGAGCTAGAACTAGAACCTGTGTCTTCTAAATCATGCTCCCTTCCCTGATAGCAGCCTGTATCTCCAAGAGAATACTGTGGATGTATTTATAACTATGTTGGATTTTATGTTAGGAAATGAGGTAATATCTCAGTTGATAAGCTCTGGTATAATGATCTCAGTCTGTTCAGAATCATTTTTTGATATTTTGAAAGGTGACTTTTGACGCAAGTTCAGCCCTACTGGACAACAGAGCCCCAAATAGAGACACCTATCTCTCAGCGATTATTGTTCTCATTACTCTGAATGCTTGCAACCTCTCTGGTTTTGAGCAAAGATGACTGAGTAAAAACGAAACATCTTTCAGTTGGGGAGTACTTAAAGGTGGACTGTGTTACACCAGTTGGTATCAGGATCATTCTGAATAGAATGATAACAAGCTTTGTTGTGCTTTATTGGGCGGGGGGGTAGTCTCAGTACCAAGGATCCTGCAAGTGGAACATTTTTATTTTGGTTGTTAAAATGGATAGGGTGTCATGACCATTCTTATTAATTGACTTTATCTCTTAGCAATTGTGACACAGTACAATTATTCACTAATAAAAATAGGTGATATCCTGGTATACTGAGGCAGGAAATGGCCTACAGTATATACATAATTAGGTCATGCATTCAGGGTAATTGTCTTCGTAATGGTTTCTGTTGAACACAGGTCCTACTTTAGTCAAAAGTAGTTCCTTTTTGGGCTCTTTTGGGAAAGTTGTTGAGTTCAAGTTGTGTAGTCTGCTCAAATTCTGGCAGTGGTGGAGCATATGATGTCACAAAAGTGAGCATACTTCTAGGTGGTTTGGGGTGGCTCTTCATAACCAGTTGTGTCACCACACTGCTGTCTGTGTCCATGAGTTTTTTTCTCATTTCTTTTTCATCTTTTTTGCTCAATCTCCTCACCCCCTCCCAGCTACCCCACCACGATAGCTGTTAGCCTGCTCTTTATCTATGAGTCTGTCTTTATTTTGCTTCTTAGTTCATTTTGTTTATTAGATTACACATATGAGTGAAATTATATGTGTCTTTCTCTTACTATTTTCCACAGTGGCTACACCATATGCATTTCCACCAACAGTACATGAGGGTTCCCTTTTCTCCACATCCTTGCCAGCACTTGTTGTTTGTTAATTTGTTAATGATAGCCATTCTGACACATGTAAGGTGATATTTCATTGTGGTTTTAGTTGTCATTTCTCTGATGAATTGTGATGTTGAACATATTTCCAGATGTCTATTGGACATTAGTATGTCTTATTTGGAGAAGTGTCTATTCAGGTTCTTTGCCTGTTTTTTTTTAAAAAATATTTTTCCCTTTATTGAATAAGATATTACAAATGTGTCCTTATCCCCCCAATGTCCCCTCATCCCCCCAATCCTGCCCTCACCCTCACCCCCTGTTGTCCACATCCATCACTTATGCTTATATGCATGCATACAAGTCCTTTGGTTGATCTTTCCCCCTCAACCCCACCCTCCCCTGCCTTCCCTCTGAGTTTTGAGCATCTGATCGATGCTTCTCTGTCTGTACATCTGTTTTTGTTCATCGGTTTATGTTGTTCATTATAATCCACAAATGAATGAGAGCATGTGATACTTATCTTTCTCTGACTGACATTTCACTTAGCATAATGCTCTCCAGCTCCATCCATGCTGTTGCAAATGGTAGGAGTTCCTTCCTTTTTACAGCTGCATGGTATTCCATTGTGTAGATGTGCCAAAGTTTTTTAATCCATTCATCTGCTGATGGGCACTTAGGCTGATTCCAAATCTTAGCTATTGTAAATTGTGCTGCTATGAACATAGGGATGCATAATTGGATTTTTTGTTGTGTGTGTGTGTGTGTGTGTGTAGTTTTTTTTTAATTTAAATTCTTTATTGTTTAAAATATTACATGAGTCTCATTCCCCCCCTCCGTGTGTGTGTGTGTGTATGTGTGTGTGTGTGTGTGTGTAGTTTTAAATATTAATTTTGTCACCCATTCTAGGACTATTTTTTATTTTTAAAATTTTTATTGATTTTCAGAAAGGAAGTGAGAGGGATAGAGAGACAGAAACATCGATGAGAGAGAAATGTCATTAATAGGCTGTCTCTTGACCACCCCCTATTGGGGATCAAGCCCACAACCTAAGCATGTGCCCTGACTGGGAATTGAACCAATGTCCTGGGTAGTCACTCAACCACTGAGTCACACTAGCCAGGCTGGTGTTTAGTTTTATAAGTTCTTTGTAAATTTTGGGTATTAACCCCTTATCTGATGTATCATTGCTGAATATGTTCTCCTATTCAATAGGTTGTCTTTTCATTTTGTTGATGGTTTCCTTTGTTGTGGAAAAACTTTTTAGGTTGATATAGTCCCATATGTTTATTTTTTCCCTTGTCTGGGGAAATATCAGAAAAATATTGCTATTTGAGATTTTACTGCCTATGTTTTCTTCTGGGATTTTTATGATTTTGAGTATAACAGGTTAGTCCTTAAACTATCTTGAGTTTATTCTTGTGTATGGTGTAAGAAGGTGGTGCAATATCCAAAAATCAATAAATGTGATGCAGCACATAAACAAAATGCAGGATAATAATCACATGATTATACCAATAGAGGCAGAAAAAACATATGATCATAACCAGCACCCATTTATGATAAAAACTCAGCAAATTTAGAATAGAGAGAATATACCTCAATGTAATAAAGGCCATATATGACATCCACAGCCAACATCATACGCAATGGGCAAAAACCACAGCATTTCCTTTAAGATCAAGAACAAGACAGGGATATCAGCTTTCAACACTCATTCACTTGGTGTCTTAAGAGGAGGGAAATGTATAATCCTCTGTCACAGCTCTAACAAAGATAATGGATCTGCCTGTTGTGAAACCACCCTTTCTAAGAATTCTAATAATCAGGGAAATTACTGGAAGTTAGTCTATACTTTATTTAAAATATTTGGTCAAAAGTCTAATTACAATCCAACTCATGGATTTTGCAAGACATTTTCATCTAGTTTGGTTCACATGTATCATAGGTGAGTGATGAAGCAGATGGATCAATATACAGGGAACCAAGAAGTATTGGTTCTAGCTCAAGTCCTGCCAGTGACTTACTGTGTGGCCTTAAGCAAGTTGCTTTATTTCTCTGGATTTCAATATTATAATCTTTAATAAGAGGAAAAGATTGAAATAGAAAATCTTTAATTTCCTTCCTAGCAATACAATGATTTGACTACACACTTAGGCACCTTAGAAGAATTATATATCATGAAGTGATAAATAATGGGACCATAATATAGAAATTAGCCAGAGGGAATCTTTTGGAAATATAGTCTATATCTTGAAGGGAACCCATTAACTTTTGCCAAAGATCATGATACTCTTTTCAGAATAATTTTACCATGAGATCCTCAACTTTTAGCCCATAGGCAAGTGTTTTGCAAGTAAATTCATTCTTTTTTCAAATGATAAAATCAGACAACAAACAAAAGGAATAATTCTGAAATCTAATTTCCACAATGACAATGTCACTCAAACAGTATTTCTAAATCTTTTAAAACCAAACTTTTCTTTGAAAAACATAAAAGTATTTCACAAGAACTCCTAGAAAAATCTACTCCATCAGATTAAGGTTTTTCAAGTACAGCCAAAAATATTTCTTAGACCTGTATTTTCATCAGTTTGCATTTTAGGGAGATTATTTTGATTTCCAGATATATTTTGTATAATAAGAAATATATTTTTTTAAGTAACACATGCTTCCAACCCTTAAACTTTAAGAATTATTGCTTTAGTACTGCTGGCCATCTCTCATAACTCTACTTTTTGGGGCATTTGCTACACCCAGAAAAGTACAGAATTCAACCAAAGGCCCATGGATATTACTTTTTGTACAAGTAAAGCTGAAATGAACTAACATTTATTTAATATCTACTGTGTACCAGACATGAACATTGTTACTTTTTTATAAATGAGGAAACTGAAGCCCAGAGATAGGAAGTGCGTTGTTTTAGGCTAGAGAGCTGATAACTGCATCAAGATATGGCCCTAGATTTTTCCAAAGGACATATTCTTTCTACACCCAAAATGCTGCCCCAACTGACAAAATGATACCTAAATTAAGCCTTTCAAAAATTATTTTATAAATCTGATAAAGTTACATGCAGGAAAGTTTAATTCAAATTTTGAGGTATTAGTTTGTGAATAGTCTAATTATCTTAATTCATTTCAAGGATAAAAACGATTTTTATTTCTTTGAATTTATAGAAGAATGTATAGGCTACATATATTTGTGGGTTATTTAGAGTTGATTTTAATTAACTCAGGAAACAGTAGAGTTCCAAATTTCAGTTGCTCTTCTTTACTTACGATTGTGAGTGATTGAATGAAGGACACCATGTT